CATTGGACTGCGAAACAGTAAACAGATATACAATCCCACTAAAGCCTACAATAAAGTTACATAATTGATTTAGGATATTTCATATTTGCATCACTAAAATTCAGGGGTCTCCCCAGGCAATGGTGCAACGGCGGTGCGCCACTCCCAAAATTTCTAGCGCCACTCCCAAAATTTTCAAATTAAGGGTCTTCTCTTCGTATTTTCGCGGATAAATAGGCAAAAAACATCGAAATCTTGACGCGAGTGGCGTCCATTTTCCCGTCGGCATTGTTTCTGAAAGTTGTGAATGGGCGATAAACGAGTAAACAATGACCATTTCGCACGACGCTACCGAGAGAATAGTTGTCATTGGTGGAACATCGGGCGCCCCGCTAGCGTTTTTAAGTCATGTAAACAACGCTAATTGTCTGATTGGTTTGTAAAACAAAGCCCTCGACCCCGAAAATAAGTTTATAAAGCCGATGCGTTTACGAACTAGCCGTGGAAAATTCCCTACCGTACCGCACCATGAGCATGTGGCGGCCGCAAATGTCTGGGCCAGTATACCGGCATTTCCCATGAAAATAATGTATATTGTTTATGTTTCGCCTGCTGTCGGTTTTTAAGTTCCAAAACGTCTGAAAAAGCAGAAATTTGCTCACAAAACCGGACGGGGGAAGGCGAGTCGCTATCGGCGTGAAGCACATGGCGAGGCCTTTTTAAAAATCGGTAACGCGGAAGAAAAATGCGTGGTCCATTTTAGCGATATTTACCATGAAAATAACGTATGTGGTTTATTTTCCCTCTGGTGTTAGTTTTTAGGTCCCGAAACCCATAAAAAAGTAGCCTGGGTGCCATCCGAATTTGTAACGGCTCCCCCGAAAACAAATTCGGATGGCACCCAGGCTAATAAAAAAGTAGAAATTTTCCCATAAAACGCACGGCCGAGGGGTGGGAGGGCGGCCGGCACAGAGCTGCATGACCCGTAAAAAGTCAAAGGTCATAGTGCACGCATATTACGCAATCACCCTAAAGCGCCGATTTAGCTAATTTTAGGGCGTTTAAAATTGATGAAGTCACATTATTGATTTTT